TAGTAGTATTACGGTTGGTAAGTAATAGTTAAGAAAGTAAACGATATATATATATATATATATATATATATATATATATATTTCTATGTATGGGCCAGGTGGTTAGGGCGCTCGACTCGCAGTCTGCGGGTCGCGCGTTCGAATCCCCGTCACACCAAACATGCTCGCTCTTTCAGCCGTGAGGGTATTATAATATGACGGTCAATCCCACTATTCATTGTTAAAAGAGTAGCCCAAAAGTTGGAGGTGGGTGGTAATGACTAGCTGCCTTCCCTCTTGTCTTACGCTGCTAAATTAGGGACGGCTAACGCAGATAGCCCTCGTGTAGCTTTGTGCGAAATTTAAAACAAACAAACAATTTATATGTATAGTAGAAAATATACAAGAGAATTTCGATTAGTCTGAAGAAAAATATCTAGCTTACTAGTCTTTGCAGTTTCTTTTCAGTTTCCTTAAATTTCCATATAAAATTTATCAATGTGTCGTGATTAAATCATGTGCAATTTTTATTTTCTTTTGATCATTTACATTTATATCAAGACATCTGGTAATGATGATTCACACTTTGCGATAGAACAAAATTTTTAACGAGTTGCATTAACACAATTATTCGTATAGAAGGCAGACTAGGTATATTTTGCTTTTGTATAATAAGATAATGCATTCAATACTTACTAGTATCGAGTAAGATCCTCAATGTCAACCAGCATTGAATCTTGTTCCATGTGGAGATCATCTCTTTCCAGGAGTAATTCGACCAATTCTTCATTTAAATCTGTAAACAACAACAACAGCAACAAAAAAACTGTAAAGTATCAGTAGCAAATGCTGTTGAAAAAATCACTGGTAAATTTCGCGGACAAATAAAGCACCATTAAAACTTATAACAGGGTAATTGGAAGTTGTAGCTCCCCTATTCCTTTTGGATCTCTAGAACATCGTAGGCCTTGAAAGAATACATTAAAACACTATGCACATGATGTTTTATATACGAAGGTTAACATTTACTTCAGAACTGAGGGATCTAAGTCCAACTAAAACTATGAAGACTGCAATGACCAAATATTTTGCTTTATAAATACGGGTTTAAAGTAAAAGTAATTTCATTAAAATCGACTTCGACGTAATTACAGTGCTCGTAGCATATTGAACAAAAACTTGTAAAATACTTTTGAATACGGAGAAGCATAAACAGGGCTTAAAAACTGAACAAGAAAGAAACAATTCTGTAAGTAAAAAAGAGAAAAACATCATAGCAAACCAAATATTAATTCTAAAGTTTTATGAAATGCAATTATTATTTCTAATCATTTGCTATTTTCGTTTGTTTTGTAGTTAAGCACAAAGCTACACAACAGATTATCTTTGCTGTGCTTACAGCATGTATTGAAACAAGATTTTTAGTGTTATAAGTCATCAGATCTATCACTGAACTACTGGAGGTCTTAATCATATATACAACTAAAAGATCTACAAATATAACTCCATACAAAACAATCTTAAACTACTTTAAAAGCAAAAACCATCTTACCTTAAGAGTGATAATACTTAAAAAAAAATACATAAGAATATTAAAATACTTCTAATTTACCACTCTCTTTTTTACAAATAATTTATATATATCTTAATGATAAACGAATCTGAATGCTAGGTCTAATTGAAGAGAAAAACAGCCCAAAATCCTCTTAACACACACATACACAAAAAATAGTACGAAATAATGGCTTAAAATATAGTCCAGTAACATTCTTTCTTATAAATGTCTAAAGCTTTACTGAGTTTAAATCATTCGAATTGGTAACGCAATGATATTCGATATTGATCTCAAAAGTTTTCAAGTGGTTTTGATATAAGGTTTTTATTCAATGTTCTATAATGAATCCTCATTTTAAAACCTTAAGAAATACAGTCTTAGCCAAAATGTTTACATATTTTGTTACAAATAACATCATTGTTAGTATGATGGAATACAAATACACTTAGTGCTGTCAAACTGAGAAATGTATGTCATATTAAATCTCTACATATGTAATTTGTATAATGACACGGGTTCTACGGACATCATGAACGATTTATTAGAATGGCACACAATTTTATCAGACACCTGTAGAAAGATGTGTAATTCAGCATTTCACCTGTCACAACAAAATCTTACCAAAAAATACATAATGACAAAATATAACATCAAATTATTATAAATATGGTATGTAACCTTAAAGTATTTAATATTAAACTGTAAGTACTTCGTTGGTCCTCTAATAACCTCCGCAAGGCGACATGACATGCTGTCGATGAGGTTATTGATGTAATTAACCGTCATTTCATCTCAACCTTTCACTAAAAGGCACTTCAACTGAGATATAGTAGCTGATTTAGACTCGTGGTTAGTAATTTTTCGGCTCAGTTCTGTCCAGCAATTATCAATGGGATTACAATCTGAAGATTTTGCTGGCAATCTTGTAAAGTCCTCCTGGTCGAGATAATCCTATACAATGCGTGCACTGTGGGCAGTGGCATTGTCATCCTGGAGCACAAAGTCATTGCCAAACCTTGTCCTAGCATATGGCAGAAATGTCATCTCCATGTGATGTCTGTATTAGACGCCATTGATGTTTCCCTGGAGGATATGAAGAGTAGTTTTTTCCAACATGATAAATTAGCTGTCCAAACATGTACTGCACCGCCTCCTGTGTATTCTCTGTGGGAAAGACAGACTTCTCTCATCTGTTCTACAGGCAAATGAATCCTACCATCAGCTTTAACAAGCCGGAAACAGGACTCATCTGAAAAAATAACATGCAAGTTGGCACGCTGTCTTGCCCAAGTAACATTGTGACGGCAGTGAATTCTGGTTAATATCAGTTTGTAGATAGCCCTTCTTGTAAAATAACCTTAGTTGGTTAGTCTCCTATTCACTGTTTTTCTGGATACCCTGAAATGAATGTATTAATGCCATTCCTGTCGTAAGGTGTGGCAATACTTTTGTTTACCTTGACGTGTTAACCTGATCAGAATACGGCCATCTCAGGCAGTAGATTTTCCTGCGGTTATCAGTAGACTTTTCTGGAACAACGTTTCCTGTGGTCCAATTTCGTTGTAGGATTCTGAATAATGTGCACTGGGGTACTCTACTGTTCTGGCAATGTCCGTTTATTTCATACCATTTCTGGACAGTCGAAGAATTTGACGCCCTATAACTTCTGGCACGTGACGAGGCATGACTCTATACCAAGATAAATTGTCGGAATAAAGCTTTGATCTGTTTCGAAAAAGTTTATATCAAAAGCACAATCCTTTTGTACAAAACAGGTGTGTATGTGTGTTTTGACAAACAAATGCTCAAAATAATTTATACATACCAGAATAACAACTCGTACATGTTAGTCCGAGCATACGCTACCTCTGTTACTACTCGGGCATATTATCAATACCTACTCCATGCAAGTAGACAATAACGTTGATATAAAAAAAGTATGCAATCATTTTGGCCTAGACTGTACAAGACATTAGCTTCAACTCAACTATCAAAGTTGATATCAATTCCTATAGCCCAGCTGGTCAACTTCGTAATTTACTAGATAGCTTTAGAAAATAGTAACACAAATATAGCTAGAAACTGACATCGGATGTAACAAGTAATCTGCATCCAGTTTAATTAAATGACCTGTATTGACTGATGCCTATTGGATAATGATATATACTAACAAACTGGTCACATTTTCACTCTTATTTTTGATAGGTAATATCTTGTGAAAGTAAAAATATAACAAAATCTAAATATATAATAACTACATCACCTCCCTCAGATTTTTTCTAAAGTCACATATGCAAATAAAGGCTGTGTCGAACTCACTTTTTAAACTTTTTAACCGACCATTACTGACCCGGCATGGCCAGGTGGTTAGAGCGCTCGAATCCCCTTCACACCAAACATGCTCACCCTTTCAGCCGTGGGGGCGTTATAAAGTTACAATCAATCCTACTATTCGTTGATAAACGAGTAGCCCGAGAGTTGACGGTAGGTGGTGATGATTAGCTGCCAGTGTACTTAGAGTTTCAATGGAATCCAGAAATAAGTCTTGTAACTGACACCAGAAAAACTTCAAACTTCATCATATTTAACAAATAAAATAATTTCGTACCGACCTAATATCATATTACTGGCTCCACGTGATAGGTAAGTTAGAACATTACTGGCTCCACCTGATAGTTACGTTAGAACATTACATTACATACGTACCAGTGAACCCAAACCTATAAACAGAAGAGGAAAAGCGCCTGTTTATCGAAAATGTATATATCCTTATTGACAACTCATTTACGATCAAATGAAAAACTACTGAAATAGTCATAATATCAAATCAAGTGCATGAGCATTAGGGTTTTTAAGCACAAAGCTAGATAATGGGCTGTCTGTGCTTTGCCCACCATGGGTATCGAAACGCGGTTTTTAGCGTTATAAGCCTTCAGACTTACCACTAAGCCACCGGAGGACCATAAACAGTATAGCGGCTGTTACATTGTCCTACCACACTGTTTGTGGTAATATCATTTTTATACACACCTCTTCTGTTAACTGTGTTTGAAACGAACAAGCACACTCTGAATATGAGAAAATCACTTTCTGCTATTTAGTTTCCAAGTATGGTACCATAGCGCTCAAAATGATTGTTCTATTAGCTTCGTTTACTTAATTAAAAATAAGCAAAATATACCCGTAAGAACTGGTGAACTTACTTTCAATTTGTGCGTAAATGCCATTGACGATAACATGTAGCTGACCTAGATTCATATCTGATAAAGAGTACCTGCTAATCCTATATCGTCGATCGTCTAGAGGAAATCCAACCTAAATCAGTCAAAATTCACACAGTTGTAAAACATCTACCACTCTGTATATATATATATAAGCAAACAGTTATCTCACTACAGGTATTAATAACACGATACGTTCATTACAACGGGATAGAATCACCATAATTATTGTACAATATTCATATTGTAAAGAAAACATAAGAAACCCAAGTTAAAAGTTTTAAATTATCCAAAGGGTGAAATCTTCACTTGACATACCTCATAATCAGAAATTACACTAAGAGTAACGATATACTGGGAATAGTTACACTCAGAGTAACGTTATACTGGGAATAGTTACACTCAGAGTAACGTTATACTGGGAATAGTTACACTCAGAGTAACGTTATACTGGGAATAGTTACACTCAGAGTAACGTTATATTGAGAGTTGTTACAGACAAAGTAACGATATATTGGGAGTAGTTACACTCAGAGTAACGTTATATTGAGAGTTGTTACAGACAAAGTAACGATATATTGGGAGTAGTTACACTCAGAGTAACGTTATATTGAGAGTTGTTACAGACAAA